CCCAGACGGGAGTGTAGTGGCTGCTCCTGGCCACCGCAGCCTCGCCTACTGGGCTCCGGCGATCCTTCCGCCTCAGCCTTCCAAGTAGCTGGAATTACTGGCATGCACTACCACGCCCGGCTGATATTTTGATTAATTGTAGAGATGAGGTCTCTCTGCCTAGGCGGGTCTCGAACCCATGGGCTCAGGCAATCCACTCATCTCAGCCTCCCAATGGCACGGGATTACAGGCTGAGCCACCGAGCCCGGCTTAATTTTTTGATTTATTGTAGAGATGAGGTCTCACCAAGTTGCCCAGGCTGGTTTTGAACCTGTGGGCTCAGGCAATCGCCTCACCTCGGCCTCCCAAAATGCTTGGATTACACACTTGAGCCACTGCACCCAGACTCCTATACTGTTTTTTTGTTTTGTTTCTAATTTGATTTTTGGGCTGGTGTGGTAGCTTACACCTGTAATTCCAATACTTTGGGAGGCCGAGGCAGAAGGATCACTTGAGTCCAGAAGTTGGAGACCAGCTTGGGCAACATAGTAAGACTCACCTCTACAAAAAAAAAAATTAGCTGGGAGTGGTGGCATGTACCTGTCCTTGTGGAATTAATACCCAGTTCCTTGGAAGGCTGAGGCAGAGGTGTCGCCTGGGCCCAGGAGGTCGAGGCTGCGGTGATCCGTGATCGTGCCACTGCACTTGCCTGGGCAGTGGAGTAAGATCCCAACTCAAAAAGATAAATAAAAATAAATTTGATTTTTTTTGTCTCTCCCTCCAGTAGATTCAAAGCACTATGAGGGTAGGGACTGACTGGTTTTTTTGGACTTATTGAATGTTTTTGCTCACCATTGTTTCACACTAGAATAATGTCTGCTACACATAGCAAGGGCTCAGGAAGTATTTGTTAAATGAGTGAATAAATAAAAATCAGTGTTGTTGATGCCATTATCACTGAGTAGAAAGTGTTCAATTGTCTGCTGGGCTCGGTGGCTCAGCCTGTAATTCCACGCCTTTGGGAGGCTGAGGTGAGTGGATTGCCGGAGCCCGCGGGTTCGAGACCCGCCTGGGCAGCGAGACCTCATCTCTACAATAAATCAAAAAATCAGTCAGGCGTGGTAGCATGTGCCTGTAATTCCAGCTACTTGGAAGGCTGAGGCGGAAGGATCACCGGAACCCAGCAGTTCGAGGTTGCGGTGGCCGGGAGCAGCTACTGCACTCCAGTCTGGGCGACAGAGTGAGACTCCAACTCAAAAAAAAAAAAAGCAAGTGTTCGATTATAAGTTACTCTGTGGAAAAGTCCATCAGATCCATTGCTTCTCTGCTTGTTTTGTTCTTTTGTGTTCTGTTATAGTTATAGACATTTAGAGCTTGAGCTAGGAGTCTGGTAACATTTGAGATTTGTATGTTAAGGTTTTGGTGGCCATCTCCCTTCCTAGAGTATCAGCTCTGTGAGGGCAGGGATCTTTGTCTGTTTTGTTTATCACTGTATTCCCAGTTCCTCACACAGTGCTAGAAATAATAGGAGGTGCTTGACCAGTATTTGTTGAATGAATGAATGATAATCTTACCAATTTAAATGATTTGCATAGAGCAATGATGTTGAGAATACCATGTCAGGAGTCAAAAAGCAATAAGAAAGCTATTATTCAAAGAAAAAAAATATTGCTGGTGGATGAAGAGTGAGGCTTATGTGAAATGTTTCCCTGTAGGGTGCCAGCCTCCCTGTGATGGACCTGACTGAGCTCCCCAAGTGCACAGTGTGTCTGGAGCGTATGGATGAGTCCGTGAACGGCATCCTCACCACCTTATGTAACCACAGCTTCCACAGCCAGTGTCTGCAGCGCTGGGATGATACAACGTGAGTGCAGGGGCCTTCCCTCATGTATCTGAGCCCTTTATATTCCAGAATTAGAAAGAGCCACCTCCAAAAATGAATTGTTCCAAGTATTTGACTTTATAAACCTAGCACCACAGTAGTAAAGAGGTTACACAGAAGGGCCTTCCATTTTTCTCCTTCCCTTTCCTCTGCTCACATGGAAATCAGCATTGGTAGACCAAATCCATTTTAGAATGCTGATTCTGAATCCTTGTAGGATTCCTCAAAGCAGCATGAGTTGCCCTTTTTTTTTTAAAGCAGGATTTATTGAGAGGACAGAAAAGCTCCCAGAACAGGAGGGGACCCAAGGAGGTTGCCCCAGTTGTTCTTTCAAGAGCTGGAGAATTGTTGTTTTTTTTTTTTTAAAGTTTGGCCAGGCTCAGTGGCTCAGCCTGTAATCCCAGCACTTTGGGAGGCCGAGGCGAGTGGATTGCCTGAGCCTGTGGGTTCGAGACCAGCATGTGGGCAACTTGGTGAGACCTCATCTCTACAACAAATAAAAAATTAGCCAGGTGTGATAGCACGCACCTGTAGTTCCGGCTGCTTAGAAGGCTGAGGTGGAAGGATCGCTGGAGTCCAGAAGGTCAATGCTGGGGTGGCCATGAGTGTGCTACTGCACTCCAGCCTGGGCGATAGAGTGAGACTCCGACTCAAAAAAAAAAAAAATGCTCTGAGGCTCTTATGCTAAAACAAAGTCTGAATCTGGAATCTCATCTGTCTCGTGCACTTGGTATCTACTGTTCACTTTGGCTTTCTTATCAACTGGGCTGCAGCAGCCTAATGTTTTAGCTTTGTTGGGCTGTTGATGGCTTGGTGGCCAGTAGCAATAGTAGTCACTAAGTATGAGGCTCACCCTACACTCTCCTGATTCCCAGTGTGCTAGAGGCCTTCATCGTGGGTGTCATTGTTGCAGACAGAAGAGCCTATACTTTTGTTTTCCTCCTAAATCAAGGATGGCTACTCTCTTTTTGCAAACTGTACTGTGGGACTTAGCTAGAAAGCATATCAGATGCTGGGCTGGCCTTCTGGGCTTCCCAGTATAGAGGGAAAAATAGAGAGTCAAAAAATCACACAGATAGATAAATCAATCACAGCCATATGTGTTGCAGAGAAGCAGTGTGCAGCATGTGACTGGAGAGCTGGGGTCTGGCCAGCCAGGGCCACTTGAGGAGTGGCATCTCCTGGAGGACAAGGAGGAGTTGGCCGGTGAAGAGCAGGAGAGACAAAGCAGTGTAGGGGAGAAGAAGATCACATTCCAAAGCCTAGGAGTTAGAAGGGGAAATCTCTGTTCCCACCCACTAGTGACCCAGTAACTGGAAGAATGGCAACTTCACAGAGCAAGGACCATGCCTGGCTTGCTCACAGCTGTGTCCCTCACACCTGGCAGGGGACCTAGTGCATTGTAGATATTGGTGAGCAAAGAAATAAATGCTGGGTTTCCACAGCATATCTAGCTTCCCTAGCTTGTTTAGCTAGACAGGAATCTTGCCGAATTCCATATTGTCCTCAGACAATTCTGGGAGTTTTTCAAAGAAATGTCCGGTTACCTTGAACAAAGCCACACTGAGATGTGTGCATTTCATAAGTGTTTATCTTGGGTCCATCTGCTATACCAGTTAAGTTCTGGGCACTTTGTTCCCCACCACTCCAATTTTATTTTTGGTGTAAGTTACCTGTCACAGAACCTTAACATTTTAGAAAAAAAATTTTTTTAATTAAAAAAAATCTATAACATTTTAAGGTTGGAAGTTTCCTCAGGGATCCCATTTTGTTCAACCTCATTTTATAGAGGAGGAAACTGGGGCCCAGAGATGAAAATTAACATGCTCAAAGTGTCCTGGCCAGAGAATGCCAGAACTGGGACTAGAATTCAACCGGTCGTATGCCGTCAGCCCTCAGAGGGATGCAAGCTTTCTTTTAGTGAGTGGGTTTTGAGTCTTAGTGTATGCATGGTACCATAATAGGTGCTGAGGGGAGGAATCAAGCCTAGCTCCTCCTCAGAGAAGTTTGGTCTGAGGGCCTTTACACATGTGCATAAATGCATTCATTCAGTGTGGAGACTGGAGGAGGGAGAGATGGTGCCCCCAACTCGGGTGTTCCGGAAGGGCTTCCTTGAGAGGCAGTGTTCGTACCAGGTCTTTCTGACACATGGAGATGTCAGGAAAGGCCATTCTGGGATGGTCTCCCTTGGGTCTCATCAGGAAAAGAAAATGAAAACCCAAAATTTCTTTTGCAGGGGAAGGCAGGAATTTAACTGGTTATTTTTTTTTTTTTTT